TTTGTGTCCTTAGATGAGTCCAGGGTTGAGGATGTTCCTCAACTCGCGACTGACGAGAATGAGATTTTGACTGCTCCTTTTACGAAGAAAGAGGTGTTTGAGGCCATCGCACAAATGAAAAATAATAAGGCTCCAGGACCGGATGGGTTTCCGGTGGAGTTCTATAAAAAATGTTGGCTCTTTATTAAGGGGGACTTGCTTCCGATGTTCCATGAGCTCTTCTCTGGACAGCTTCAATTGTTTAAGCTGGATTTTGGAACGATAACTTTACTTCCTAAGAAGACATAGGCCGTTCGCATTGAGCATTTCAGGCCTATTTGTCTTCTTAATGTTAGTTTCAAAATTTTCACCAAGGTTGGGACGAATAGGCTTACGCAAATTGCACATTCTGTGGTGCAACCATCCCAAACTGCTTTCATGCCAGATAGAAATATCCTTGAAGGGGTTGTCGTCTTGCATGAAACGCTCCATGAGATTCACTCAAAAAAACTAGATGGCGTTGTTTTTAAAGTGGATTTTGAAAAAGCATACGATAAAGTTAAATGGCCCTTTCTTGAACAGGCTTTGTGTATGAAAGGTTTTGATCAGACCTGGAGAAACCAGGTAGAATCCTTTACGCAAAAAGGGAGTGTAGGGATTAAAGTGAACGATGACATAGGTCACTACTTCCAGACACACAATGGGTTAAGGCAAGGGGATCCAATGTCACCGATCCTATTCAACATAGTGGTAGACATGCTGACCATTTTAATAGGACGGGCTAAGGATGCGTGGTAGGTAGGTGGCCTTGTTCCGCATTTAGTTGATGGAGGTGTCTCTATCCTTTAGTATGCTGATGATACTAGCATCTTCATGGAGCACGACTTGGCGAAAGCGAGAAACATGAAGCTCGTGTTATGCTTATTTGAACAATTGACCGGGTTAAAAATTAACTTCCACAAGAGCGAATTGTTCTGTTTTGGAAGAGCTAATGATGACCAGGAGGCATATAAACAATTTTTCGGATGTGAATTGGGAACTTTACCATTCACTTATTTAGGTATACCCATTCATCATCGTGAGCTGACCAACAGAGAATGGAAGTGCATTGAGGATCGTTTTGAGAAGAAACTGAGCTGTTGGAAAGGGAAGATCATGTCATACGGAGGGCGATTAATTTTGATTAATTTGGTCCTCACAAGTATGCCTATGTTTCTTCTATCCTTTTTCGAGGTCCCGGTGGGAGTCAGGAAGAGGCTAGATTTCTATCGATCACGATTCTTTTGACAGAGTGATGAGCTTAAGCAAAAGTATAGGCTTGCTAAATGGGATATCATCTGTAGGCCGAAGGATCAAGGGGGTCTAGGTATTGAAAATCTGGAAGTCAAAAACAGATGTCTCCTTAGCAAGTGGTTGTTTAAGCTTTCTTCCGAGACGGAGGCCACTTGGGCTCAGATCTTGCGAAATAAGTATCTTCACTCTAAAACTTTGTCCCAGGTGACAGTGAGGCCGACTGACTCACCATTTTGGAAAGGTTTGATGAGAGTTAAATCACTTTTTTTCAATAGGACAAGGTTCTTAGTCGGAAATGGAGCTGCTACGAGGTTCTGGGAGGATACGTGGCTTGGGGAGACTCCCATTGCACTTCAATATCCTTCTTTGTATAACATTGTTCAACGTAGAGATGCTTACGTTGCAACGGTGCTACAATCCACTCCCCTCAATATTCATTTTCGGAGACGCTAGTGGGAAATCGCTGGGAGGCCTGGCTCCATCTTGTGAGAAGATTGATGGATGTCCAGTTGTCTCAGCAGCCAGATCAGTTGTGTTGGAAACTCACTAAGAACGGAGTGTTCTCGGTCAAATCCATGTATCTGGATGTTATTAACTCCAGCGTGATTCCTTCCTCGAAACATGTTTGGAAAGTTAAGGTCCCTTTGAGAATCAAAGTGTTTATGTGGTTTGTGCATAAACAAGTTATTCTGACTAAGGATAATCTGACAAAACATAACTGGGTGGGCTCTGCAAGATGTAGTTTTTGCGACCATAACGAATCTATCAAACACCTCTTTCTTAATTGTCCGCTGGCCAAGATTTTGTGTCGGTCGATTCGTATTGCTTTTAATATTAATCCGCCCAGTTCTATCAACATGTTATTTGGGACGTGGCTCGATGGGATAGTTTCAGATACAGCGAGGCACATTCGTGTAGGCGTTTGTGCTTTATTATGGGCAGTCTGAAACTGCAGAAATGATTTGGTTTTTAACAGAACAGCAAACATTCACTTTTTGCAGGTTATCTTCAGGGCCACTGCGTTGATCCGTATGTGGTCGCTACTCACTCCGACGGAGGCCAGGGAGCATTTGGTTACTGCGTCTACCCAATGGGAGATGGTAGCTCGGGATATTTTTAACCGGTTTGGATGGCGGTCATGTAATAGGATAGGCATGTAGTGCTCCTATATTTATTGGCCAGCCGGTTGTGGCTTTGCCTTTTTTTTGTTTCGCTCTTGTGAGCATTTGTTTACTTCCTGCTGCGAGACTTGGAGACTGTTGTTGGATCTTTTTTTTATTAATAATATGGGTCGTATGCATTTTTCTGATGCAGAGGCTAGGGTAAACCCCCTTTTCGAAGAAAAAAAATGTATTTGGTTTGTTGTGATAATTGTTTCCACCTTTTGTTAGATATATATAGCTCACATGTCATACATCAAAGTTGGTCGCGCTCTTTTTAGCAGGCATATTTGTTCTAAGACTAGTCTTGGCGATATTAGTCATCAACCAAACAATGCACCGAATTACTCCACACAAAGGCCATACCTTGGTGAACGGATAGCTAAGTTTGTGTGGTCCTCCCACGTGCACCTCACGCAGTACCAATGTACTATAAATAAATTATACTATTGAAAGATGATTTCAATTATCATGTAGTGTGCAAGTGTAATTGACGAGATCATATCATCTTCCAACCACCACTTTCTTACTTTGCAATATATATGTTCACAAGCAACCTAACTTCGCCGTCACCTGGCCTCTGGCATTGTATCTTCTCACATTTTTCATTACCTCTGCCACCTTCTCTCGTGATGCTCAACTACAAGTGTAGCTAGGACTGAGAGGATATATCTCTCAATCCAACACATTTCCTTCCCTACTTGTCAAACATACGTCTTCTTAGGGATGAGAGGGGTCAAGAATATACCAAGCCTTTACAATACAAAAGTATTACAGAAGAAGAACTTGCTTGTCAAACCATTTCCGAGATCATGTGGACTTTGTGGTGGATTTGTCAACCCAAAGTTAACTAGTATGTGTCTGAATTGTGTTTCTAGAGGAAAGCTTGATAGATGCGGCTTTTGTATCACTACTATGTGGGGGTGTTCAACTAGAACACAAGCATAGAAGTTTTGTACTACGGATGGTTTAATTTGGGAGAAACTTCCATTTCTTATGCAATGGGGTATTGTTGGAGCAAAATAGCCAATGTGATTTCAAGTAATTAGATGGGAGTATGTGCTACATGATTTGGATTTTGCGAGCAGGAGATATTATTTTGAAATTGCATATTTTCATCGTCAACAACATTTTATCAATTATTATCCAACCTTCATCTAGTTGGCAGTTTACATTTCCCCCGATCGCAAGCTTTGCAAACGTGACTGAGATTGCCATGGTACATACTAAGAGCATGTAACATGGGGCTTTTCATGACAGAGTAACTAGCAAGGTCATCTTTCTAACCGACATTAAATGCATTTCATCTCAAGGGGAGACAGGATTAAATTTTCCAAGATGTTAACCTTTTGTCGATCGTCAGAAAATGCCAACCATTTAATAGCTCAAATAGAATGTTCTGTTGATGAGTCCCTAAAATAGCCCATGCATCCGAGAGATATTATGTGGCTTGCAGTTGCTTGATGGTCTTGAGCAGGTCAGGTGGTGTTTGCTCCAATTTCTATAGTATGCAGCCAGTTGTTTGCCCACAAGCACAAGGGTTTGTAGCGGTGGCATGTTTCCCCCTAACTTAACCAAGGTATCAGTGTGTAGAATTAACACTCAAGACTTCATCAAAAGTACTGAAATACAATAAAAAGGCACCTTGTGCCCCTGATGGTTCCAATGAGGGTGTCAACCTCATTAGCTTTGTTAGTTGCAACAAATAATGAGTAGATATTGTACTACTTTGTTTTTTGCGGGTGAGATATTGTAGTACTAAGTTGTTTGTATTTTCAGAACAAATAATAGCAGTAAACAAAAACACAAGGAAATGAGAGGGGGGGGGGAGGGGGGGCTGGGGTGTTATGGAGGAAACTGGACCAGGTTCATAGAATCACTAGTAGCATCTCTCACAAAAGCGTGGAAACATTTTTTCTTTTTGAGAAACACATTACACACACATGGTCACATGGATGACCCTGAAACTCACATCATCCAACCACAAAAGTTGGTTCTCGTGCAGACACATAAATATAAGCATAGGCATGCATGTGAGTTTGATCAACCAAACAATCATGCCAAATTATGACATAGGTTAGCATCATGTTATATAGGCAGTACATCCTAAATCCACTATATCGACACACGCCAAACCTAATGGCTAATGCTTCAATCAGGGTGATTGAAACCCTAGTATTAGATAATAAAATAGAGCATTGCAAAAGCATGATGGCATATAGTTGAAGACATAACCACTGTCAAGGAGTTATGCAGTGTTTTACCCTTAGTGAGGTACAAAGGGCAGCTCATGTCATCTAAACATTAGAAACACAAAGACAGATCTTACCATACACATAAAACTATGAACCCTTAGTCTTGGAGGTGCACTAGTCACATCTCATGGGGGTGCAGCGGAAAGACGTTGTTGATGATCAGTGGTGATTTCCCCTCTGGTTCAGAAACATTCAGCACACTGCTCATACCAGCTAAGTACTCCAGTTCAGGTTTCAGTACTAGGCACTTGCACATATCTACACTGCATATTACATGCCAAAATATTCAGCGCACCTCCCACACTGCAGGAACTTAGCCCACTAAGGCAAACCGACCGTTGGACCTCCTCCTCCTGACAACATGGACGGTCATCGTCGTCCTCGCCGCCTTCTTCTCATTCCTCACGCCTTTGATCAGCTCGAAGACGCAGACATCCCCCTCGTGCAGTTCGTTGTCACGGACGAACTTGGCCCAGGGTTGGCCCCTGAAGCCTCTGCTGGAGCTCCCCTGGTAGTACCTGACATGCCACCTCTCTTCTCTGTTTGGCCTGAGGAGCACAACCTCATGTGATCTCATGTGAAGATGTTCGTGTACAAATTTACTGGGGATGACCTGCACAAGGCACAAGGAGAAATTAATGTCTAAACATATGGGAAACCTTGTGCATGCCAGAGTTGACACAAAATTACACAAGCTTGCTGTAAGTGCGTTAGATCGTTTTGATCAGTCCAAACTGACCAGAAAGTTGTTCTTGTGTTGCAGGTGGGCCCTCAGAAGAACTGTCATGAATGCTGGATTGCCCGGTTGGATCGAAGCCAGCCCGATTATTTCACTTTTTTCGTCGTCGGGTAGTTGCTTTGCAGCCCTCGAGTAGCAGTAGTCGAAGTCAGCATATGTGTCGTCATCACTCTCCTCTTCATCAGTTTCCTCATGCTTAACATCACATGAGCTGCTACAGTTTGGTGATCCAGGAAGAAGCTCTTTCCCTGAAACAGTGTGTACATGAGCTTAAATTTAGCATTTGAAAAAACCAGCAAAAGATAATTGTTAATCATGTGCATAGTTACATGGGTCTGTGTTAGCTGACTACACCAAGATCTCAAGAAAGGGATAGATTCAGAGATATCATCTCATGCATTAGTCGAACCACATGATGCCTTACTTGGTTTGGTTCTGCTACTGAATTTCCTTAAAGTGGAGACATTCTGACGGGACTCAATCAGCTGACACGGCACACTTGTATCATCATCGTCATCCTCCTCGCCGTCGTCATCATCAGAATCAGAATCAGAATCATCACTTAGAGAGTATTGCTCAACCTGTTGACCCACCATACCATGAAAATGTTTGCGCATGCCAGCGCCAGCGAAGAGAGAAGATAGTTTCTCGCAGCCGGTCGCATCGAAGACGAGAACCTCAAAAGAGGAGTTGCCGCTGAATGTGAAGACCAGGAGGTCATTCTCCTGCAGTTCATGAGCCTTGACAAAATCTCCCCATCCTGAACTGAAGAACAGGCCATTGGCAACCTTGGTAACACCCACATGCCATGTTTCGCCGCTTGTTGCTTTCAGGTCAAATCCCTGTGGGTTCTGCATCTGCCTGATGAAATTGCTCGCAAATTTGTCCGGTATGCGCTAAGATGGAGAAGACAAAATTGGCAGGCGATTAGTACAGAGGATCCATTTTAAGTTTGTACAGTCCATTATTGGGAGGTAAGTAAGTTCCATCTTCTAAGACATTTTGTTTTTGGAGAAAACACCATAAGTGTTGCGTTTCTGATACATACATACATGACTGATGAGCCTTGTACGACTTCTTTATGCTTTCTAGAAAATCAGGATTAGTCCTAGTTGCCGTTGTTTTTCAAACATCCTTTTCTTTTTGCAAGGGGAAAATCAACAATTTGGAACTAGCTAGTACAAGCGGTCAACTATTGTTAGAGAGTTCAATCCTTGTGAGGGTATTGGATACTTACAATGCGCTGCTGGGAATCTTGTGTCATGAGCTTGAAGAACTTGGTCTTGCTCGCATCCATGTGCTCCCAGTAGTAGTGCTCCTGCCACTTCTTGCAGCTCTCGCACCCTTTCTCACCCATCATCTCATCTGCCATTCAACAATCACAGAAGCAACATCCTCAGCCACAGCGCGCGCGCGCGCGCGCACACACACACACACACAGAGAGAGAGAGAGAGAGAGAGAGAGAGCTGTGCTTGCCTTGCTCTTCATGCATTCCCTGATTCTTCCTGGTGAGAAGAGAGAGGGAGAGAGAGGAGTTGTGCTGGCGCTGGCTGACGAGACTAGTGGAGTAACTACATACATAAATAGATTTCACCTAAAGTTACAGCTCAGGGAAGACTAGTGGACTCTGGGTGTTCATGGACCTCACCCACTGAAAGGTGGGGCCACCATGGCAGACGTGTGCTATGTTTACTTCATCTTTGGGGGAGGTGAAATTGGCAGTAAGAGCAACTCCAACGGGCCGACCCAAACGGACGGCGCTTTTGTCCGTTTGGGTCGGCCCGGCGGACACAAACGTCCGATGTCGTGTTTGGGTCGGCGCGAGCGCCCAACGCTGGCCCGACCCATTTCGTCGGCGCGGCAAAAAAAGTATTGGAAGCATTTCGAAAATAAACGCATGCATTTAATTAAACATAAAAGCCGGCCACGAAGGCCGGCGAAAGTCCACATTACATTAAAACTAGACGACGCGCTGCCCTAGGCGTCCTCGGCGGCGGCGGCGGCTGCGCCTGGACCGGTGAGGTCGATCAGCGTCGGCGCAGGGCCGGCCCAGGGGAACGCCGTGTTCCAGACGGCGGTGATGTCGGGCTTTGCCGCCGCTGCCTGCGCCACCGCTGCCTAGGCCTGGCGTGCCTCCTCTTCGGCCTCGCGGTCGAGCATCTGCAGGCGCTCGTCCTCCCGGCGCTCCTCGGCCAGCCGAACGCGGCGCCAGTGGTCGAGGTAGGCCGCCTCCTGCTTCTCCGTCGTCCCGAGCCAGATCGGCGGAGCGCTGACCCACTCGCGCACTACTCCGGTCCAGGAGTAGCGCTCGAGGTAGGCCGGCTACTCCGGCTCGGCTTTGGGCGGGGACGGCGGGGCCACCGGCGGCACGACGCAGTCGCCCGCCGCGGAGAGGGCCATGGCCTCCGCCATGGTAGCCTCGAAAGCCGCCTCGTCCGCCTCCCTCCACCGCTCCTCCTCCTCGCTCTCCTTGATGGCCGCCTGGTAGGCGGCCTCGGCCTCCTGGTCCTCGTCGTGGACGACGAGCGCGGGCGGCGAAAGGCTGTGGTCGACGCTGCGGACGCCGCGTCGCCTCGCCTCCTCGTGCTCGAAGGCGAACCATCGAGCCCAGTTGGGCGAGTCGACGATAAGTGCGGGTCGGCGCGCTGCTCCGACGTCAGCAACGCCCGCCGGTGCCGCACCTCCTCCGCATGGGCCCTCGCCGTCCGCGGCGCCGCCGGCACTGGGATCCTCTCCGGAGCCAAATGCCAGTCATGCGACAGCGTCACATCCGGGTACGGCAGAGGCACGCGGTGGTGCCAGTGCCACTCAGCCTGGTGCAACGGCACGTTGATGCACTGCCTCTGCCGGGGAGCGCGCGCCGGCGCGGGGAGGGCGGGGGAATGGCGGGCGGGGGCTTTGCCCTTGCAGCTGCTGCCGATGCCGAAGAAGAAACCCATGCTGGCGGTGGCTAGGGTTGTCGCCGGCGTGGGGGCGGGGGTGGCCAGATGGGGACGGGGGGCGAGTGGTAGTGGATGAGGACGGCCCCGCCGCACGCTCGGCTTAAAAAAGGACGACCGCCGTCGCTGACTCGTGGGCCCAAGGTGGGCGGTCGTCATAAATTATGTTGACCGTCGTAGTTGGACGGCCGCCAGGTGGGGACGCGGCGGACGGCGAGGAGACGCGCGACGCGTCCACTTCGCGTCCGCGCCGACGCATTCCAAACGCAAATTTGGGCCGCAAATGCGTCGGCGCGGACGCGACGTGAAATGGGTTTGGGTCGGCGCGTTGGGCCGCCACTTTTGTCCGTGCCGACCCAAACGGACGCGGGCAGACGAAATGGGTCATCCCATTGGAGTTGCTCTAAGTGGAGTGGACAGTGCGCAGTCATTTCAATCAAGTAACGTTGCAGAAACTAACTGTAATCAAATTGTCTGTGATCTTATCAAGTTACAGCTCATTGCCTCCTGGTTGCAGCATACAGTTGTCAGAAGCAATCCATTGACAATACTTAATTTGAGGTTAAACTTTGCAAGAATGTAGAACAATACATAAGCTTCTCAAATTTGTACACATCAATTTCATGGGATTGGATTACAAGAATTTTGCGCATTCTCAAAGGATATATCCGAAACAACTTATACTGATACTTAGAAGTCACAATATGACCATGATTCTGTAACACAAACTAACCAGGAAGTATCATCATATCCAGGTAATGTTGTTTATTCTAGCACTTCTCTGAGATTTTGTCGGACGAGTCAGGAAAATTCCAACACAAAAACCCACTGACGATACTAAACTTCCCGATTACAAAAGCATAGGCAAAAAAAAGGGAGCAAATCAACAGTACTCTTTCTTTCGGATGATGTGGACCATCATCCTGAGCTTCTTCTTGTTTTCAATCCGCTCGAAGAGGCAGACATCGTCTAGTTCCAGTTTGTTGTCAATGACAAATTGCTCCCAGCCTCTAACAAGCCAACGCCTTGAAGCAAAGCTCTTGAATTCAGTTTTCCATGGAGCGCTTTCCCCGGGCCGATGAAGCCTGAAAATTTGGTTCTCACCAGGGAGAAAATCTTTGGCATAATCCAGACTGAAGGCCTGATTGCACGGAAAAAAAAATTAAGTAAGATTCAGTGAAAACTTCACTGCTCTACTTTTCTGTTTTCTCACTATAACAGGGAATAAACTTCCGCTGACGAAATGTATTTGCCCTTTTCTTTTGAATATGAACAAAGTGATGGTGGCTCACCAAACTGAGGCTTCTGCCGCTAACATTGGTTTTCATCATGATAGACACAAAAACAGGGATTTCGGGCTTAATAACTTCTACTTTCTCATGCACTTTAGTCTTCAGCAGACCCTCCAATGTGATGAATCGTGACAGCCTCACTTTATCTTCAGGCCTAAAACTCTTGGCTTCAGGCCTAAGACTCTTGGAAGAAGCGGGAAATCCTACAAAAAAAACCCAGTCACAAATTACTAAACATGGGACACGAAACCAATAGTGCATTAATTTACATCATCTCTTACAGAATCTGCTGGATTCATTTTCAAGTTTTTCCCCACTGTGAGTAGAGCTACATCTAAAGGATGATCCCTCACACTGCATGCATATACGCAGGGCATTACCTGGTGGATGATGATAGCTTGCTTTAAGCAGATGAACTGCCATTGTGAAACTTCTCTGCCTCTTTAATACTTCAAACACGCAAGTATCGCCTTTTTGCAACTGGTTGTCATCGACAAATCTCAACCATCCGGTAGAAAGATGATATGTATCATCAGCATTGATCTTGTAATGAGCACGCCATGTCTTGCTATGACTGGCATGACAAAATGTGATGAATTCGTCTTTGCATGGAAGGTGTTTGATAGCGTAATCTTTGCATATGACCTATCACAAATGATCTAGCAGTTAGTTTTGATGAGTTCAGCAAAGCTTTAACAAGATTTAACAGGTGAATCTGAAGTTCTGATCATCGCAAGAACAAGTTCTGAAAAAGTCAAACAGCTCAAGTAGTCATTAAGTATGCAATGCAAGTAATGCAACTGCCAACATACCAGAAATCCATCAACCAGACTGGCACTGGACATGGTTTTGACATATAGTGGAATCTCAGGCCTGATATTTTGCTCAATTTTGTCGACTTCCACCTTATGTGCATCAGTCAGGTTGCACCCTGTTGCTAAGAAATAGCGAGACCTGGTGGAAGTCTGAAGTTCACCTGAACTCCTGGCATCTTCAGAAGATGGGACTTCCTTTTTAGCTGCGCAATATCAACCATTAATGCTGTTAATAATGAAACTTGATCACACTGTGCTAGAACTAGGAGGAAATATGTATCTTTACTTGGTTTGTGTGGAGAGCCTGCTGGATTCATCTTTGAAGTTTTGCAACTGTCGCTGCAGCAACCATTGTGACGCTTTGCTAACCTTTCACCCTCCGGTGATAACATTTGATTATCATGAGGAACGCTCCGTTTTTGGAGACCTGGATTGTAGTTCATTACAACGCAGGATGTCTCTTTCTCGCAAGCACTTGGATCATAGATCTCAACTTTGAAGTGGGAGTCCCCATTGTATTTGAACCTCAAAAAGTCACCCTCTTGAAGCTCATAAACACTGGCAAATTTTGACCATCCAGATCGAAGGACTAGATTATTCAGTTCCTTGGCAATATGAACATTATATGTATTACCATCTGGAGTTTCTAGTTTGACTAGTTCAGAGATCATTCCTCTGACACTGCGCACAAACTTCTCTGGTATGGTCTGCAGGGATTAAAAAATAAAATTGACAGCATGTACTCCCTCCGTTCCTAAATATAAGTCTTTGTAGAGATTCCACTACGAACTACATACGGATGTATGTAGATGCATTTTAAGTTTGGATTCATTCATTTTGCTCCTTATGTAGTCCATCTGGTGAAATCTCTATAAAGACTTACATTTAGGAACGGAGGGAGTACATGGTAGGATAAAGAGGTAATTTACACTAACATGGAGTATGTCATAAAATTGAAAGCATTACACCGTTACTATTTTAAGAGTAATAACTAGTTATATTGATCCATATAAATAACAAGGTCGTTGCTGCTAATTTTACTGAAAACCAAGAGCAAACATGTTTTCTCAATGCAGATATAAATTTATTTATTTGAATATGCCTTATGCATGAAGGGGAGCCTTGGCGCAGTGGTAAAGTTGCTGCCTTGTGACCATGAGGTCACGGGTTCAAGTCCTGGAAACAGCCTCTTGCAGAAATGTAGGGAAAGGCTGCGTACAATAGACCCAAAGTGGTCGGACCCTTCCCCAGACCCTGCGCAAGCGGGAGCTACATGCACTGGGGCTGCCCCCTTTGAATATGCCTTATGCATAGTTTAAGGAGTGGTTTTCAGGATATGCCACCCACTAAGTCAGTTTTTCAGGGCATGCTTTACAAATAATCCATGTCTCACAAAACCACAGACATGTGGATCCTAACTCCATGCATGAACAGAATATTGAGGTGAATGTCCTGATAATTTCCGATAATTTTCTGACGTTCAACATTTTTGCCAGAAATTGATTCTCAAACAACTACTCATACATAAAAACAAAACTGGTTCGAACCTCCAAATCAAGTACTAAGATGAGTAAACCATGAAACTGTTATCCCAGGACCTAAGTTTTCCACTTACCCAAAACAACAAACTAACAAACTATAGAACATGTATATTTGTCCACAGGAACAGCATAGTCGAGAAGATCGTACCACTCCATTCCTGAAATTGCCAAGCATAAGCTTAAAGAAACGCTTTTTCCGATTATCCATGTGGTCCCAATATTGATGTGCGACATAATCCTTGCATTGTGTGCAAGACTTGTCCATCCTCTGATCACTCCTACAATGTTAATAAAGATGGAAGTTATTAGGAAGGGAGGACAAAATCAATTTACAGTAGGCACGTAAACAGGTGGGAACTGGGAAGTAACCTGCTTTCAGTATTCAGGCTAATTGACATGAACCGACTGTGCTGACATTGTGCCCTACTGTTGAAAAAGAACATCACTAGAAAAGTTTATTCAGGCTGATGCAGATGAAAGCATGACAAAAGTTGCTATTTGATAGCTTTGACTTTTAAGCACTAAAAGCTGCAGAATCTACTGCCATATTCCAGTTTCATTTCTTCCATATAGTCTAAGAAGATAAGAAAGGGCAGCAATATCTAGAGTGTAGTAGCAGATGTGGTCAGTAGCAATAGCGAAAACAACAGCAGAGATTAAAGCAGGAGATTACCAGGACTTCTGCAAGGTTGCCGGTTGCCACGGATCCAGAGGGATGCTCTGAGCAGTGCTAGCACAAAGGTCACAGTCTCACAGATAAATAGTACTGTATGGCTGTATGGAGAACCCAAAAGTCACAAGCCGCATTCAACACTTCAAGACACATATTATGTGAGTTAAAACCCACTGTGGACAGAGAAGTAAAACTGATTAATTAGGAAGAGGAATAGACTGGGAACTGAAAACCATCCTCTTTAATTTTTTCAATGAATCGTTTTCTTCTGAACATGAGCACTGAACACATACTGCCACTGCTCTGCCTCGACATACTTGGGAAGATTCTCTTGACTATGCCTGTCAAACTGAGTGAACAGAATAGGGTATGGCCAGCCACTGATCAGATCAGAGCCAGCCAGGCCTAAGCAGGAAAGAATGTTTCAGGCATTTGTTCTGGGAAAAGAAATGCATTTGATGCTGGGATCGTTTTTCTTTCGGCTGTACAAAAAAAATGCATTTACAATTCCTCCATTTTACAGCCCAATGGTTGCATCATTTTGTAAGTTGCTTGGCATAAAATGTGATGTTGCTGCTACATGGCAGTACAAGAAGGACAGGGCAGCCACAGTAGGGGCAAAAGCTCAAAACTGATGTATGTGTATTAAATACAAACTGATGTACAGTTGCTGCATACTAATAGAGCCTAGTAAGGGGTTTATCACAATTCTGCTGTCTTCTACATTTCAAGGATAAAAATAAAATAGCACATTTAAGCAATTTAAAAGGGAAAAATTAATGAAATCGTCATGTTAAGCGTAACACTAGGCAATGCACCTGAGTTAACATGACTAATTACTGTAGAAACCGGTACAGAAACTGAACATTGACAACACATAACACAAGATAAGCTTCTGACTTGTAGAGAGTTCCCAATTTAGTTTACCAGCACAACTGAAGGTCCATAAAAGATATTTCATGGTATTGCAGAGCGGATCTATGATGGGACTCCCTGATTATAATTACTGATAAATAGGGAGCATCCAAAAGTCATAAAAAAAATTGCACCGTCAAAATTGGAGCTACCTTCTTACCTGGGCTGGGGGAAGACATGCACCAAAATACCAAATAGATCGGTAGTGGATGTTCGTAATTTTGATTTACTAGTACAAAAGGAAGAATAACATTAATGGTTATACAGGATCTTATTCATGCGAGCCCACTGAGACAACGATCGTGATAATGTTATGTTTCAATGCTAGGACATGCAAAAACTCCAGGAGTACATCCAACAATCAGTGACTGGTTCCTAATGCTTCTTCAGATCAGGTTATCGAAGGCAATCAAGTCTCAGATTATTAGTAATCCTGCCAAAAAAACATAACATACACAAAAAGGGGGTTGAAATTGTATAATACCACACTGAGACAATTCATGATTGAAGTTCACCCAAGAAGGAAAGCGATAGTACTTAGAAACAGTTCAAATCCAACTGAATGGTTCTATTTCAACAAGACATAAACATGTTGAACAGACAGACTGGAATAAAATCAAAGTGGAAGTTGGAACTTCGAAGCGGCGCACACCATTCTCAGTTGTGAGTTTCCATGAACAAAAAGGACAGTCATCCAGCAACATGGATTGATTATCAAAGGTCGGCAAAAAGTTACAACTTTAAGCAGTAACCACAAACAAAAATAAATTAGAAGACAATTTTAACAGAGGATGTGAAAACTGCATCATGAACACATTCCAGGTACAAAGCACTCAAAACTATTTCATTTCCAGTGAGCTGCTTTACAAACATTGTTCAGTGGAAAAGAGCTCTACTGATGAGCCGCTGGTACATATTTGAGCAAACTCTACATGACACAAAAATAAGTCACATGTCGAGGAACTAGGCAAAGAATAAAAAAATCTGCTAAATCCACTACCAATTACCCCTCGAAAACACAAATTATGGCTCGACAAAAGGAGAAAGATCACCTTCCACTCCTTCATTGATCGATACATCATACATCAAGCTCAAATTTGCCCTTGCATGTGCTCAGCAGCTATCGCCTCCATTTGGTCAGTAGCTATGGCAATGCGCTCACTTTCCAGGAATGAAGGATCTAAGAACTTGGCAACAAATGCCCACATCTTGTACACATCTTCAAAGTTAGTGAGGAAGCCAAGCGAAGCAGTCACAACTTCAACTCTTACAGTCACCTTTTTACTGTCTCTGCGACCATTCTTATAAAAGGAAGCCTCGGGTATATCTAGTGCTCCATTTGACTGCTTCTGGTTTGGGTCTATCTTTATATGACTAAGAAAACCGATGCCGAGAGATATGCCATTTTTCTCAGCTATCTTCTGGACAAATTCAGCATTAATGAAAGCGCCACCACTTTGCTTCAGATTGAAAGCAACGGCCGCTCCCCTTTCATACTTAATCTTTGGACCATAAATGTGGACAAGAGGAACTCCATCACTGTCTTTCAAGCCTGGCAGCTTCAGCTGCAACAGCGAAGTTACTAGCCAATTGATAAGGTACCTTAACCTAAGAGTTGTTCTGTTGAGCCCCATCATATCAACATGATCAATGTGCCTGCAAATTATCTCTGGTTCCCTCCTGCTCCAGTCTTGAGCATCATCATACCCATCACTTATACAGGCATCGTCATCACGAAATGGATATCCAGACGCTTCAGCAGCATCTGAGGCCCGATGTAGTCTGTCAGCAATCATATTTGCCTCAGTGTTGAATGAAACCCTGCGCCCCATGCTTATAGCTCCGTCAATCTCTTCAACACCGAAGAGACGACCGCCAGCAAACCTGCTGTTTCCATCCCTCCGTCCCAGCAGCCGAAATTCCCCTTCAGTCTCCCTTCTTATCGCACTTTCTTTGTGGTCCAAATCACCATTCATGGCATGTTGGCATGCAACCTCTTCCACCTCTGGCTCCTCCTGGATTTCACTAACTTGCCTGAAATGATTTCCCCGGCCATTCTCATAGATTTCTTCTTCAGGGTCTTCCCTGAGGCAGTCTACATCTTGTGAAACTGACAATACAGCAGCATCAAAAGAAATCACATTACCATCATAAAGTGGGCTTCTAGATATCCTTGATGTGGGTGACATCCTCTTGTTACCCTTTCTGCCAGTGAACCAAGACGATGGTAATGGTGATCCCAGTTTCCCTTTCTTGAACTGACCAGACTTCTCTGACCCCAACGGGCTCTGGCCAACATCAACCCAGAAAGAGTTCTCTGATGAACAGTCCTCGCTGAATGCTGGACTCCTCATCACCTCACCGACAGATATGCTCTCAGTTTCTTCAAAAATGGTGCTCGCCCCGTCCCTATCCGAGCTGCTATCACGACCAGGGTCACTCTCAAACGTCTCTCTGACCTGAGCAGACGTGTACACACCTGAAAATGCTGGCAGCTGAGAGCCATTCCTGACATCAGGCACTGGATTTTCATCTATCGGAGTGCAAGCGTCGTCTTCAAGCCCCTCCGTTTCCACTGCATCAAATTCATCGATGGAGTCACTCAGGTACTGTGGAAAGACTGGAACAATCCTAACCATCCCAGAGGCATTGCAGCCATTCCTCCCCTGCAAGCTCCCAATAACTGACTTCTTGATCAGAAGGCAACCAAATCCAGTTGGGTCAGAACCAAACACCCGGTAGAATGAGGTTATAATGAAGTCTGGCCGGAACAGCGAGAGCCCCAGCGAGTCCATGTCCTTGGGACCAAGTGCACCAGCATCAAGCATAACATGCCAGCCATTCTGCTGTGCCAGCGCCATCCACTGGTAGGAGTACTTGGCGCCGGTCACCCGAGACTGTGCAGGGAACACGAACAATCCGACTGCAGCATCCCGTCGCCTGGCCTTCTTCTTGCCCACGATCTCCTTGCGCAGCTCCGTCGAGCAGAGCTTGAGAGTGGGCCAGCGGAACCATGCGGTGCGCGTCTTGGCACCCTTTGCCCGCGCACTCTGCGCCATCCAGTTCACCGACTGGCTCTCATGGTCAAACATGGTGAGCAGCCTTCGGTTGTTCTCGAATGGGTAGCACTCAGCGAGCAGCTTGAACGCTGACCCCCGGCTGACAGTGAACACCAGGGCGTACTCGCTGGCCGGCACATTCAAGTACTCGAGGATCCGCTCCTTGATGTCATTCTCCGCCGTGCCGGGCTCAGCGCCACCGTAGAGCGCGTGGTTGCTCAGATTGGCATTGAGCTCGGACAATGTGAAGGACGAGGAGGAGGAGTCCCAGCTGGAGTCGAAGAGGCCGAAGCCGCAGTAGTCCAAGCAGACCCTGCCGGCGCCGGGGGCGTCGAGGTGGGAGTAGTGGTCGAGGCGGAGGCGGTCGACGTCGGAGGTGGAGGCGTAGTCCGGATACATGGAGAGGAAGGTGGCTATGGCGTGGGCGAGGAGCGGCAGGTCGGAGATGGAGCGGAACGGGCCGGCGGCGGCGGCGAGCGCGGTGGCGCGGAGGAAGTCGCGCTGCGCCCGCAGGCGCGCCAGGGAGCGGGAGCGGGTGACGGCGGCGTCCTCCTCGGCGCCGGCGGCGTCGGGCGGCGGGCAGAGGGCGCCCTCCTCCGACGCGGCGTCCAGCGCGTCGCGCAGCTGCCGGAGGAACGACGCCGGGTCGTCACGCCGGCCGTTGCCGCCGCCATGCCCGCCAGTGCCCCCACCGCCTCCCCCACCGCGCCGCCGGTGGTTCTTGGAGAGGAGGATGGCGGCGCAGTGGGAGAGCGGCTTCCACAGGGAGAGATGCATGTGCCGCCCCCCGAGCTGTCGGATCGACGACGGGGAAGGGGAAACCAACCGCAGCGCCCCTGCGTGCGTCGCGGCTCGGATCAGCGGGCGCGGCGAGGCATGGGGGGATGGGGCTGACCGGAAAACCCCGAGATTTCTGGGTGGGTGGTGGGATTCCGGATCAGCGGGCGCGGAGAAAACTGCGGCTCGGCTCCGGGTGGGGAAGGGAAGGGAAAGAAAACCGGATCTTCCGCCGGGGGAGAGAGAATGGGGGATCAGAAATGTGAGAGCCCTCAACCAAGAACAGTGGCCGGCCGGCTGCGTGCGGGTGCAGAAATCTCAGGTTCTCCTTGGGTTTGAGGCGGGGAAACCGCGGATTTTCTCGGAGAAGAGAAGAAACGGAGGAGGGTTGGGAGGGCTTGAAATGCAATGACACGCTCCGCCTTTCCCAGCAAAAAGGGGAGGGCTTTGGCTTTTGGCAGGACCAAGAACTCAAATTAAAGAAGAGGGATAGAAAGAAAGAAAGAAACAAAGAAACCTCAGCAAAGATTTGACTCCACTCTCCTTGCTTTTGCACACCACCACCACCAAGAAGAACTCATCACTGCTCTCTCAAACCAGTGGAAATCTCAAGAGCAAGGTCACTCAGATCCTCCCCGCTCTCACCAAACTCGTCGCGAGTGGTTTGGAGCGCACTAAATGCGTTGGCATCATGAAGAGGGGGTTGCATTCATTTCCATCCAAGAACTACCAACACCACACCAACTTCTTTTTTCTTTCCTTTTCTCCCCCTGTTTGTACTACACTCACTACCACTACTGCTGCTGCTACTGCCTTGCCTCGCTTTGGAGCTGAAAAGTAGCGGCACTATTTTAGTGAGGCTGGCCTGGGGTGGGGTGGGGTGGGGGTGGGTTGCTCTTAGTAGCATCCACCGGGTAAAAACAAAGTGTTTGGTACTGTCACATTAATATTATCATTGGCTCTACCTTGTTAGTTTTTGCTCCCTGTCCCTGGGGCTCACACACGCACAGTGGGCTGTAAAGTGGGTGGAGGAGTCGCTGCAAGCAAAGGCTTTCGTTCTTGGGGCATTGACTTTTCTTTCTTTCTTTCCCCCATTCAGGAATTGAAATGCAGAGCAGAGTGGTGTTGTTGGGTGCTGGCTTTAGGTTTTATGGGTTTTTTCTCTCTCTCTCTCTCTATACCTATGAATGAGGAGGCTAAAGCAAAAGTTTTTGTCTGGATCATTATTTCCTTGACCGGTTTCTCGTGTGTGGAGTTGTCGTCTTTATGCACGTGTGCTTTTTAGGAGCGAAATGTTAGTATTTGCTTCCATTGTCCTTTCGTTGCATGATGATAATTCTTGTGTAATCATGTTGTGTTGTGTTGTTTTGCCTTTTCATGATTATTTTGGACACTTTAGTGCCAGCACAGCTGGATAGGCTTCAAAGGAAATAATTTCTTTTCCCCGGCTCGGTTAAATTTTCAATGTTGATGAGTACTCCACTAAACAAGTGAAGTGGGCATATAACTGACACTTGTTCTACTTAGCGACAACTTTGTACTCCGTATAAACTATGGTGTTTACATCTGAATAGTACTTTCTCTGTAAATGACTTCACAACGTATTTTCGGTCCTTCGCGTCGCTCTTGCGAGCGACAGGAGGGAAAACATAGCTGCCGCCGGGGCCTCCCCTCCTCCCCGCCGCCGTTAGGGGGTGTAGGGCAGGGCTTCTGGGCATGACTGTGGCGTCGGCGGCACGTGCCGGGGCAAGGCAACGATGACAGCATGGCGGGTGCGCGTCAGGCCACATGGAGCGGAGCGTGCTCGAGGATCAACGGTGGCAACTTTGCGAAGGCCAGATCTGACCCCAGGTGGCACAGGCTGCGGTCGACCGACTACGTCATGGCCGCGGAGGCTGCTCCTCGCGACAGCAACGGCATGTATTCCAGCCCAGCGTGGCCTTCTAACAACGCGACAGTGGATGCCAGGGCGGCGGCCCCGAGCGACGGAGCTAGTGGTTGCCTTCTCGTCATAGTGATGGAAGTGTTGGGGAACGTTGCAGAAAATAAAAAAATTCTACGCTTCACCAAGATCAATCTATGGAGTCATCTAGCAACGAGAGAGAGGAGTGCATCTACATACCCTTGTAGATCGCGAGCGGAAGCGTTCAAGAGAACGGGGTTGAGGGAGTCGTACTCGTCGTAAATCAAATCACCGGAGATCCTAGCGCCGAACGGACGGCACCTCCGCGTTCAACACACGTACGGTTGGGAAGACGTCTCCTCCTTCTTGATCTAGCAAGGGGGAGGGAGAGGTTGATGGAGATCCAGCAGCACAACGGCGTGGTGATGGAAGTAGCGGTGATCTCGGCAGGGCTTCGCCAAGCTCAGCGAGAGGGAGAGGTGGTGCGGAGGGAGAGGGAGGCGCCAGGAGCAGGGGTGCGCAGCCCTCCCTCCCCCCCTCTTTATATAGGGGCCCTGGGGGCGCCGGCCCCTAGAGATTGGATCTCAAGGGGGGGCGGCGGCCAAGGGGGTGGCTTGCCCCCCAAGCCAAGTGGGGCGCCCCCACCCCTAGGGTTTCCAACCCTAGGCGCAGGGGGAGGCCCAAGGGGGGCGCACCAGCCCACCAGGGGTTGGTTCACTTCCCCACTTCAGCCCATGGGGCCCTCTGGGATAGGTGGCCCAACCCGGTGGACCCCGGGGACCCTTCCGGTGGTCCCGGTACAATACCGGTGACCCCCGAAACTTTCCCGATGGCCGAAACTGGACTTCCTATATACAATTCTTTACCTACGGACCATTCCGGAACTCCTCGTGACGTCCGGGATCTCATCCGGTACTCCGAACAACTTTCAGGTTACCGCATACTAATATCTCTATAACCCTAGCGTCACCGAACCTTAAGTGTGTAGACCCAACGGGTTCAGGAGACATGCAGACATGACCGAGACGACTCTCCGGTCAATAACGAACAGCGGGATCTGGATACCCATGTTGGCTCCCACATGCTCCTCGATGATCTCATCGGATGAACCACGATGTCGAGGATTCAAGTAATCCCCTATACAATTCCCGTTGACAATCGGTACATTACTTGCCCGAGATTTGATCGTCGGTATCCCAATACCTCGTTCAATCTCGTTACCGGCAAGTCACTTTACTCGTACCGTAATGCATGATCCCGTGACCAAACACTTGGTCACATTGAGCTCATTATGATGATGCATTACCGAGTGGGCCCAGAGATACCTCTCCGTCATACGGAGTGACAAATCCCAGTCTCGATCCGTGTCAACCCAATAGATACTTTCGGGGATACCTGTAGTATACCTTTATAGTCACCTAGTTACGTTGTGACGTTTGGTACACCCAAAGCACTCCTACAGTATACGGGAGTTACACGATCTCATGGTCTAAGGAAATGATACTTGACATTGGAAAAGCTCTAGCAAACGAACTACACGATCTTGTGCTATGCTTAGGATTGGGTCTTGTCCATCGCATCATTCTCCTAATGATGTGATCCCGTTATCAACGACATCCAATGTCCATAGTCAGGAAACCATGACTATCTGTTGATCAACGAGCTAGTCAACTAGAGGCTTACTAGGGACATGTTGTGGTCTATTTATTCACACATGTATTACGATTTCCGGATAACACAATTATAGCATGAATAATAGACAATTATCATGAACAAGGAAATATAATAATAATCATTTAATTATTGCCTCTAGGGCATATTTCCAACAGTCTCCCACTTGCACTAGAGTCAATAATCTAGTTACATTGTGATGAATCGAACACCCATAGAGTTTTGGTGTTGATGATGTTTTGCTCGCGGAAGAGATTTAGTCAACGGATCTGCGACATTCAGATCCGTATGCACTTTGCAAATATCTATGTCTCCATCTTGAACATTTTCACGAATGGAATTGAAGCGACGCTTGATGTGTCTGGTCTTCTTATGAAACCTGGGCTCCTTGGCAAGGGCAATAGCTCCAGTGTGGTCACAGAAGAGGATGATTGGCCCCGACGCATTGGGTATGACTCCTAGGTCAGTGATGAACTCCTTTATCCAGATTGCTTCATGCGCTCCCTCCGAGGCTGCCATGTACTCCGCTTCACATGTAGATCCCGCCACGATGCTCTGCTTGCAAATGCACCAGCTTACTGCCCCCCATTCAAAATATACACGTATCCGGTTTGCGACTTAGAGTCATCCAGATCAGTGTCGAAGCTAGCGTCGACCTAACCCTTTACGACGAGCCCTTCGTCACCTCCATAAATGAGAAACATATCCTTAGTCCTTTTCAGGTACTTCAGGATATTCTTGACCGCTGTCCAGTGTTCCATGCCAGGATTACTTTGGTACCTTCCTACCAAACTTACGGCAAGGTTTACATCAGGTCTGGTACACAGCATGGCATACATGATAAACCCTATGGCTGAGGCATAGGGGACGACACTCATCTTTTCTCTATCTTCTGCCGTGGTCGGACATTGAGTCGAGCTCAATTTCAGACCTTGCAACACATGCAAGAACCCCTTCTTGGACTGATCCATATTGAACTTCTTCAATATCTTATCAAGGTATGTGCTTTGTGAAAGACCTATGAGGCGTCTCGATCTATCTCTATAGATCTTGATGCCTAATATGTAAGCAACTTCTCCAAGGTCCTTCATTGAAAAACACTTGTTGAAGTAGGCCTTAATGTTTTCCAAAAGTTCTATATCATTTCCCATCAAAAGTATGTCATCCACATATAATATGAGAAATGCTACAGAGCTCCCACTCACTTTCTTGTAAATGCAGGCTTCTCCATAAGTCTGCATAAACCCAAACACTTTGATCATCTCATCAAAGCGAATGTTCCAACTCCGAGATGCTTGCACCAGCACATAAATGGATCGCTGGAGCTTGCATACCTTGTTAGCATTCTCAGGATCGACAAAACCTTCCGGCTGCATCATATACAGTTCTTCCTTAAGATAGCCGTTAAGGAATGCCGTTTTGACGT